TTTGGGAAGTGGTGAATTGAGCCCTTGGGATGGCTGCTAAGGTGAGTCTGGGTGTGGTTGCTGGGCCCTAGGGCACCCCTTTTTAGTTTTCAGTTTTGGGAACTGAAATGGTGATTCCATAAATTTTAAATGCATGATGCAAATATCCTGGGAGATTTAGTCAGAAGTTGGTAGACCAGGGTTGGTGGGTGAGTCAATAGGTCTGTGGCTATATTTTGGGCACTTTTTAAAGAGATACCTTGAAAATAAATGAAGCACACTCATAGCTAATGTCTATAAATTGATCACATGGTTTCACAAAAATTCAATAGCATGAGATATGAGAGATATCCAGTTATGGTGAAAGAGAAACTGAGAAGTTCTACATGGAGCTGGAGAAGTTCTATAAAGAAGATCACACCTTCTACAAGATCATTGTCGGTGATTTTAATGCCAAGATAGGACCAAGAAGATCAGTCAATGAACTCCACGTCGGGACCTATGGCCTGGAATGGAACGAACAGGGTGACAGACTGTCTGAGTTCATCATGTCAACCCAAACCTTCCATGGTAACTCACAGTTCCAAAAGGCTGAATCTAAACGTTGGACATGGGAGTCTCCCGATGGACGGTTCCACAATGAAATAGACCACATCATATCCAATCGGCGGTTTTGCCTAACCGATGTTGCTGTTGTCCCAAAATCCCAAACGGGATCAGACCACCGTCTTCTTCGTGCAAAATTCTACCTCACAGAACGAGGAGAAAAGAATGCAATGTTTAAGAAGAGGACTCCCAGAACGACCACCAACAGGGAGCTCTTTGGCTCTGTTGCGGCAACATGGGAAGATGCCGTCATTGACAACATTGATAAGGAATACGATCGAATGATTCAGCACCTCCATGATTGTGCGAGGAATGCCAAGAGAGAGATAACCACAAAAAACCGCCTTTCTTCGAACACTCTTGAACTTATTCGCCAACGTGGCTTGGCACATGCCTCAGGAAAACACAAGCGAACATCCGAACTGGCAAAGCAGTGCAGAGAAGCCATCAAGGATGACCTCAAAAACAGGAGAGCAGCAGTACTGGTAGATGCGGCAGAAGCTGGGAAAAGCATTCGTAATGCCCGCCTGTCCTTCACCACTACAAAACCAAGATGAATGCCCTCCGACATCATGATGGATCTATCACATCTTCCAGAAGGGCAATGGAGAAGATTATTCATGACTTCTACTCAGATCTCTTTAATAGCCACGTCCACTTGCCCACATACCACATATCACATGATGGATATGTCGTTCCCAATGTTCTCCCTTCCGAAATCCAACATGCCATCTCGTCGGTAAAGAAACAAAGAGCACTGGCCCAGACAAGATCAGACCTGAACACCTGAAGAACTTACCATCAGTACTCATCAATACATTGGCTTGGCTCTTCACATGCTACCTGTCTGAATGCAAGCTTCCATCCCAATGGAAAACCAGCAGGACTGTACTACTATATAAGAAGGGAGACATCCACGACATTGGCAACTATCGCCCAATCTGCCTATTGTCTGTCATCTACAAACTGTTCACTCGAGTCATCCTGAATAGGATTAGCAGAACACTAGATGAAGCACAACCATGTGAACAATCCGGATTCCGAAAAGGATTCAGTACCATCGACAATATCCACACGATTACTAAGCTCATTGAGGTTTCTCGGGAGTTCAAGATGCCGCTCTGTCTAACGTTCATTGATTTAAAGAAGGCCTTTGATTCTGTTGAGTCAGAAGCGGTCATGGAAGCCCTAGCCAATCAGGGCATACAAACTCAATACATCAGGATCCTTCGTGAGCTCTATTGCGGATTCACTACCAAGATCGCACCATTCTACAAAGAAGTAATCATCCACATGAAGAGAGGGGTTCGGCAGGGTGATACCATTTCACCAAAACTCTTCAGTGCCACCCTCGAGAACATCATGCGACGACTGGAATGGGAAAGCATGGGAGTGACGATAGATGGTCGGCAACTACACCACCTCCGCTTTGCTAATGACATCGTTCTAATAACACCAAACATTAGCCAAGCGGCACAAATGCTGTACGACTTTGACCGTGAATGTGGAAAGGTCGGACTACAGCTGAATCTTACCAAGACAATGTTTATGAGAAACAGCCTTGTTCCTGACGCTCCATTCGCTCTCAACGGAACCACCATCTCCGAGTGCAACAGTTATATATACCTAGGTCGAGAAATCAACATGATGAATGACCTGGCACCTGAGTTGCGCAGGAGGAAGAGAGCGGCTTGGAATGCCTTCAAGAACGTTGAAGAAATAACTAAAAGGACAAAGAACCTCCAGCTACGAGCACATCTCTTTGATTCCACTGTTCTTCCTGCATTAACATATGCCTCAGAGACCTGGACCCTACGAAAACAGGATGAGAATGCTAATTGGGTCTCTCAAAGAGGAATCGAAAGAGCTGTGCTTGGAATATCACGATTCACTCAAATGAGAGATAGAATCCGGAGTTCTGATCTTCGTCAACGCTCAAGAATCAGGTACGCTGTCTCATTTGCCAAGACATCAAAAATCAGATGGGCTGGACACGTAATGAGGTTTACAGACAACCGCTGGACTAGAGCCATTACTGATTGGATTCCACAGGACATCAAAAGATCACGTGGACGCCCACCTACAAGATGGTCAGACTTCTTCGTCAAGACCCTGAATGATCGGTTTGAGGCTCTGCATGTTCCTAGAACGAACAGATACCATTCGGCTACGCTAGCACGCAACTGGGATGAATGGAGACGTTACTGGCACCCACTCGAGTAAATCGATGAATAACGGGGATTAAGTGATTAAGTGATGAGATATGACATCACTATTTAGATATTAAGCTTTTCTTCCCTAGGGAAGAAATTAGGGAAGAAAACTTATTATCAACTTATGGCACTTTTTTTGTATCACTATCAAATACTTCCTTCTATTACTTCTTTCTTAATGTAACTTTAACTAAATTTCCTATTAGATGTATTATGTATTGATGTAAAATATACACGAAAGATAAAGTGATATGGTAATATGCTCTGAAAACTAGTAAGATAGAGTTTTAACAGTACAAAACTTGGAGAGGAGTCATTTTTGTTTCTTTATAGTAAAAAAAAAAGAAACTAAAAAACATAAAATTACATATATTAAAATTAAAATACAAGGATATAAATTTTTATTCTACAGTAACTATTATATACTGCATAATAGGTCTCACATATATGGTTTTATGCTGTGCTCTGCAACAGAGACACAAATTTAAATGAGTATTGGAAAGTGTCTAAATATTTTTTGCAGTAAATAAAACGGACTTATATGTAATCGATCTTTGTAATTAATAATGGACAAGAAATGTGATTTAATAAATGCAAGGTGCTGGAACAATAGAACAGTGGGTAGGGCGTTTTCCTTGCACACGGCACCTCGGCCCACCCGAGTTTGATTCCTCCACCCCTCTCGGAGAGCCCAGAAAGCTACTGAGAGTATCTCGCCTGCATAGCAAAGCATGGAAAGCTATCCATGACTTTTTTGATATGCCAAACATAGTAACAGCAAGTCTTACAATGTTACTTGGTCCGCTCCAGCAAATCGATGAACAACAGGAGGACAGCACTACAGTGCTACCATTGTAATCAAGAGTGGAAGTCAGACAAGTCTTAAGCCTCATTTTTAAATCCAGGGATTTTTAAAGGATTTTAACTTTGAAGGGATAAAACTATAGTAAAAATTACAATATGACTGGGAAAGATTTTTGAAAAACTATTTTTCGAAACATCTTTAAATCATTTTAATCTTCCATCCCAGGTTCTCCCTTGAACATGAATTTCACTTTCCTTGTTTTTGTTTCTTTGCCTGCTTCTTTCACTCTAGATAAGCCTGTGTCTTTTGTTGAACACTAACTTCTCCCTTTCTCTCCTTTCACATCTTTCAAGATAAATTTTAGTACAAACTTTCTCACTTCACCAAAAACAACAACAAAATAACCCCAAATCATATCTTTATAAAAAGGCAAGAAAAAGAAAAAAAAAGAGAAATTAATGTTAATGCATGCTAAGCTTTATTACAAACCATTCACAGTAATGAGTTAGTAATAGTACAAAATTGCAAATGTAAATTTTTTAATTTTTAAATTTAAAGTATTCAAAAACTTGCTTTATCCAATTCTCTGGTTACATGAGAAAATGATCAGCTAAGTCAATTTGACAGCTGGATTATTTATTGAAAAACGTGCTACATAAATATCAGGCAGAGTTTGTTGCTTTAGCATTAATACACAAAAAATTTTTCAGTTGTATTAACCATTAATTTTTTCTTGGTTCCAAAGCAAGATTCTAAGAAGCAGACTTTTCCCTTTAGTAAACTATAAGTATCTTTATATGTAGAAATTTTATAAAAAAAACTTTTTATTTGATTAAATATATATGTAAAAAAGCAAAAATTGCTATTGCTTGTAATTGCAGATTTCCTTAAATTTCAGTAGTCATCATCTTTTTTTTTTTTTGCTTTTTCTGGTCCTACCTGGCGATGCACAGGGGTTACTCCTGGCTCTGAACTCAGGAATTACTCCCGGCGGTGCTCAGGGTACCATACGGGGTGCTGGGAATCGAACCCAGGTTGACTGCGTGCAAGGCAAACGCTCTACCCACTGTGCTATCGTACTGGACCCAGTCATCATCTTTTGGACCTAGAAATAATATCTGAGACATCAATTCCTTATCTGGGCAATTCCATCACTCACTCCTCCCTCCACCCCTCACCAGGCCAGTGGCATGCTTCCTATTGGAGATCAGTTCTAATGTTTTTATTCCTGTTTCCTTTGGACATTTGCTATTCCACAATTATGTTTCATTATGTTCAGCCTATGAGAGAGATCATTCTGTGTTCGTCTTTCATAACTCTAACTTCATTTATCACTATACTCAGCAAATTGCTTGGTTTCTCCCCCCACCTTCCCACCCCTCACCCCACCCCTACATTAGTGGAGAATGTGAATGTAGTCCACAACTACCACAAATTATGCAGATGGCTTCTCAAATTTTGGGAAATCTCAGGGGTCAGCGCATCCATTTCAGGAGTTCAATAAATAAGCTTTGCCCTGGGAAAATCACCTTTGTGATCATGACATTTGCACTACCAGGTAAGTATTATTCAATGATTTTATCTTTTCTGAAGGTCAAGTAATATTCCATTATGTGTATGCACCACAGTGTTCCTTATTCAGTGATCAGTCCTTGGACACTGGGGCAGTTTCCAAATTTGGGCTATCGTGGATAGTGCTGCAAGAAAAATGAATGGGAAAGAGTCTTTTCTCCATTGTGTTCTTGGGCCCTTGAGTAAGTTCTCAAGAAGTGGAATCACTAGGTGTAATAAAAGCTCAATTCTAAGTTTTTTTTAAAGGAATGTCTATATTTTTTTTCCTTTTTCTGTTTTTAATTTTTTTTATCAAAAAGATTTTTAATAGTGAGACATCATGAGGTACAGTTGCAGACTTAAACATTTTTGTGCTTGGGTTTCAATTTTACAATGATCAAATACCCATCCCTCCACCAGTGCCCATTTCTCACCACCACGGATCCCAGTATCCCTCCAACCCCCATCCTCCCCATCCCCCCTGCCTCTCTGGCAGGGCATTCCCTTTTGTTCTCTCTCTCCTATTGGGTGTTGTGGTTTGCAAAAGAGGCAATGGGTGACAATCATGTTTAGTCTATAGTCCACTTTCCGCATGCTTCTCCCATCCTGGGAGGATCCTCCCAACATCTTTATTTGGTGTTCCCTTCTTTTTCTGAGCTCCCTTTCCCCCTAGTATGTGTGGTTGGCCTCCAAGTCATGGAGTAAAATTCCTGGTACTAATCTTAGCCATTCATGGGTGTTAGTTTCCTATTTTGTAACTTTATGTTCCCCAGATGAATGCAATCTTTCTATGCATATTCGTTTCTTTCTGACTCATTTCAATTAGCATGATACTTTCCATGTAGTACCACTTGTATGTAAATTTTATGACTTCATCTTTTCTAACTGCTACATAGTACTCCATTGTGTAAATGTACCGAAGTTTCTTTAACTAGTCATCTGTTCTCGGGCACTCAGGTTTTTCCAGATCCTGGCTATTGTAAAGAGTGCTGCAATATATTGTTTTTAGAAAGGCTGAACCAGTCCACAAGTGTTCATCCTGGAGGAAGAGAGGGGGCGAAATACAGTAAAGCGTTATGCATGAAATTCTATTGGCAACAGTACTGTAAACCACAGAGTTAAAGTAGAAAAAAAAGTTTCTCCCATAGAGGCAAGCAGGTGATGGGAGGAGATAGGGGGTTGTGGATGAGGGGTGTTGGTGGAGGGAAATAGACAATACTGAAGAGAATGGTGCTGAAACATTGTGTTCCTATCTCACGCTGAATTACTTTGTATTCGTCGATTCGTCAATTGCCTCGAAAAGGCCCCAGTAACGTCTCTTTCATCCTAGCCCTGAGATTATATTCAAGGCTATTTAGGAGAATGAGACCCATCATTGTTACTGGTATTTGGCATATTTGGTACCCCACGGGGAGTTTGCCAGACTCTGCCCTGTGGGCAGGCTACATTCAATAGCCTGCAAGTTTGTCCAAAGTAGGAATGAGACAATAAGATGTCATAAAAAAAGTTCTGACAAGATGTCGCGCGGCCGCATTTGTGGCCGCGCGGTTCCGGGATCTGGATTTTATAGTCTCTGAGTCTTGGCCGCTGATGGGATTACACGGCGCCAGGGGGCCAGGTGGTGGGTGTGACCCCCACCTACTGGAATTTGGAGGATCTGGGTGGAAGATGCTCGACTCCAATTCGAGTAGGCTTGGAGGTCTCAGCCGAAGACCTCCAGGACCAGCCACCACCATGCTGAGACCACTCTCCGCACACATGAAGGTACTGGCAGAGGGACAAAGCCACGCGGGTTCCGGGGCAAAGACCTCCAAGCCTACTCGAATTGGAGTCGAGCATCTTCCACCCAGATCCTCCAAATTCCAGTAGGTGGGGGTCACACCCACCACCTGGCCCCCTGGCACCGTGTAATCCCATCAGCGGCCAAGACTCAGAGACTGTAAAATCCAGATCCCGGACGAGAACAGTGCAGTCTTCTGCCCCCGCGCCTGGGTGTTCCTTCCCAGAGCCCCTTGGAGGGGAGCGGGTTGAGCTTTCCTCCCCACCCCGACCAGGGCTCCAGCAGCCGAAGACCTCCAGGAATTACTTTGTAATTCACAATTAATTAAAAAATTTTTAAAAGAATATCTGAAGCTTATAGAAACATACTTAACATACATCTTCCCTATTTTTTTGACTAAGTACCTTGCCATCTCATGAGATAATGGCTTAAATGTATTTTTTCTACAAAGCAGAGATCTGTGACCTTTAAAAAATGAGAATTGTGAGTGTATACAAATTATTCATTTCAAATGAGCTCAATTTTATCACTAATTAGTAGATGAAATAACTAACTTTCTTTAAAAAGTAGTTATTATTGTGGGTATAAGTAAATAAATTTATTTATCTAAGAAAATTTTCATGTAATACTATGAAGTGCCATAATAAAACAGAAATAGTTCTAGTCACTTTAATTCTAAGTAATAAAATATAATGATATCTATATACTTATATATACAAATAATTTTTAGTGAAGGAAGACAGTTTTTAATTGAATAAATGTTGTTTAAATATATGTTATAGGGGAAAAAGAGAGGAAATATGTTGAAGAAAGAATAAAGCTTTCTCCAGAGTGAAAATAAGTGAAGAAAAGTTGAGAAGAGCAAGTGAGATACATATCCAGCAGAGAACACTAGCTTGAAAAGCAAAACTGTATTAATACTTCAAATAATAAAAATATATGAGATATATAACCACAAGCGCTATTGCTGGGTCATATGGAAGCTCAATGTTTAGTTTTTGAAGAAATGTCCATATTGTTTTCCAAAATGGCTGGTCCACTTGTCATTTCCACTAAAAATGAATGAGAGTCCTTTTCTCCCTGCATCTGTACCAGCATTAATTGCTCTTGTTCTTATTGATATGTGTCGGTTTCTGTGGTGTAAGATGGTACTTCATGTTGTTTTGATTTGCATCTACCTGATGATTAGCAATGGAGAGAATTTTTTATGTGCCTTTTGGCCATTAGAATTTCTTTTTAGAGGAAATTTCTGTTTATTTCTTCTCTCCAGTTTTTGATGGGGTTAGAGTTTTTGTTGTTTTTTTTTTTCCTTGTAAAGCTCTATCAGTGTCTTGTATATCCTGGATATTAAGCCCCTATCTGGTGGGTATCAGGTAAATAATTTTCCCATTCTGTGGACTCTTTCTGTATTTTAGTCACTGTTTCTTTCGAGGTCAGAAGCTTCTTAGTTTAATGTAGTCCCATTTGTTTGTATTTTTTTTTCACTTGCTTGGTCAATGGTTTTTCATCCTTAAAGATGCCTTTAACTTAAGTATCACGGAGGGCTCTGCCTCCATTTTCCTCCATGTATCTTATGGATTCAGGTCTGATATTCAGGTCTTTAATCCATTTTGATCTGATTTTTGTGCTTGGTATTATACAGAATTCTGAGTTCATTCTTCTGCATGCAGCTGTCCAGTTTTCCCAGCACCACTTGTTGAAGAGGCTTTCCTTGCTCCACTTCACATTTCTTGCTCCTTTATCAAAGATTAAATGATCGTATATTTTAGAGGCTGTGTCAGAATATTCAACTCTGTTCCATTTGTCTGCAGCTCTGTTTCTATTCTAATACCATGCTGTTTTAATTACTACTGCTTTGTAGTACAGTTTGAAATTAGGAAAGATAATACCACCCATATGAAACTAGACAACCACAAAGACATGAATAAATTCCTGGACTCCTATAATCTCCCAAAACTGACACAAGAAAACTTGGAATGCCTGAACAGAGATATCACTATCAAAGAAATTGAAATAGTATCAAAAGTCTCTTAAAAAAATAAAAGCACTGGCCCAGATGGATTCACTAGTTAATTCTTCCAAACCTTCAAAGAGTACCTACTGCTAGTCCTGTTCAGACTTTTCCAAGAATTTGAAGAAACAGAAACACTTCCAAACAATTTCTATGAGGCAAATATCACCATCATACCAAAAGAAGACAGAGACACCACAAAAAAGAGAATTACAGGCCAATACCCCTTATTAATATAGATGAAATTTCCTCAACAAAATATTAGCAAATAGAATTCAATCAATTATTAGAAAGATCATACACCAGGACCAAGTAGGAGTCATCATAGGGATGCAAGGATGGTTTAACATTCGCAAGTCAATCAACATAATATACCATATCAATAAAAGGAAAGATTAAAAAATATGATCATATCAATAGATGCTTAGAAATCATTTGACAAGATCAAGCACCCATTTATCATAAAAACTCTGAGAAAAATGGAAGTTGAAGGAACTTTCCTCAGTATAGTCAAAGCCATCTACCACAAGCCCACAGCAAGCATTATTCTCAATGGTTGAAATAAAAATAAGCTCTCAAAAGCTGAGACCCTTCTCTCTAAGATCAGAAACAAGGTTGCCCACTCTCACCACTTCTATTCGATATAGTACTGGAAGTACCATAGCACTTAAACAAGAAAAGGGTATCAAAGGCATCGATACAGAAAAGGAAGAACTCAAGCTATCACTATTTGCAGATGACATGATACTATACTTAGAGAACCCCAAGGACTCTATAGAAAAGCTCCTAGAAATAATAAGTTTGTATAGCAGAGTGGCAGGTTACAAAATCAATACCCAGAAGTCCATGGCTTTCCTATACACAAATAATGAAAAAGAAGAAAGAGATATTAAAAAAAAAACTATCCCATTCATAGTAGTGCCTCAGAAAACTAAGTACCTCGGAATCAGCTTAACTAAAAAGGTGAAGGACCAATACAAAAAAAACCTACAAAACACTACTTCAAGAAATAAAAGAGGACATAGGAAATAGAATCATATCCCCTGCTCATGGATTGGGAGGATTAACATTATCAAAATGGCAATTTACACCAAAGCACTATACGGATTTAATGAAGTCTCTATCAAGGGTATCATGACATTTTTCAACCAAACACCCCTGAAATTCATATGGAGTAATAACCCCCCACGAATAGCCAAAACCTGCACCCTGTTGCTAGAGTTA